GGTAAAAAAATAAACACTTGATAATATTTTTAATAATATAATATATTGTAAATATTATAGACAAAATTTAAAGTTTATAAATTATGAATATTATAATTTTTATAAATTAATTATAATTAGATTTATACTGTAAATATTGTGAATAAAATTAGGGTGTCCGTTTGTAATTTTTATGAATTGATTAAATTTAATTTTAATTATTTAAAATTCTAATTTCTTGTATTAAAATAAGAGGATTTTTAAAATGAATTAAAAGAATTTGTAAGAGATTTAGGGTTATAATTTGAATAATATTATATATATATATATATATATATATATTTAAGATATTTAACCTAAAGTATTACAGTGATAACAGGTTCACAAGCAAACATAAATAAATTATTGATATAGGAACTCTTAATTATACAATAGATTTGAAATTTCTCTAACAGTTAAAAATCATATAAAGATATTTTATAAGAATATCATATGGATAACAACTTGAAGCGAGAAAATGTATCCTAAAAAAAAAAGGTAAATCTATAACGATATGTATATATATATATCTAGATTAGTCTAATATATATGACTTGATTGTTGAATGAATTAAATTATACAACTCAATATGCTAAATCAACATATATTATACAATATATCTAAATGAACAAGATGATGAACTTTAATGTTTCAAAAGAGTCTAGAAGATGTTTAAACGTGATAAAAGATTTCTTTCAAACCAATGGATGAGACGTCCTTCTTTGAAAGCAACACAACAAGTGTCAAACTTAAAAAAAAATAGTGAATTTGTGATATATTTAAAAGAGCAAAACAAAGGAGAGATAGTTTTCTTTTAAGTAATAATAATTTTGAGAGAAATATTTTTTATTTTTTATAGGTTAAATGTCTTTAATATACATAATATTGTATTAAACGGTTATCAAAATAGAGCTCTTAAATCCCCTCTAAATTCTCTTAATTTAGTACAAGAAATCAAAATTTAGAATAATTAAAAATAAATCATAGAAATTTGTGTAATCTATTGGTCATAATTGTGTACCAAATCTACATAATTAGTCACAATTTGAATTTTATCTACAATATTGTTTCTTGATGCTTAAATGTCCAATTATCAAGCAGGGAAGAAAAGTATCCACGTCCTAAAGTTAAAATAAAGATATACATGAGTAAAAACATAAGATAGCAAGTATCCATAAAATATTTCATTACAAACAAAATAACATTTCATTACAATACGTTTGATACACTTGTGAAACACAAAATTCTTAACTACAAGTAAAGTAAAACAGTTTGACTATTACAACAACAAAGGTGCAAGTAGAATGAAAAATATTAAGGTGGAAAAAAATGTTTTTAACTCACTTTAATTCACGTGTGGTAGTAGTTATTAAACAATATTCTACTTTAGCATAGGAACAAAATATTATATGTTATTTCTTTGTCTTCCAAAAAAAAAGAAAGTTTTTCCAATAAAATAATTCAACATATTAGAAACCTACGAGAAATAGACATGTGGATTAATCTATTTCATATCATTCATAAAGTTTTATATAGCTAGAATTATCTAATATAATCCATTATCTAGAATATCCTTTCAAACATCGAACAACAAGAAGAGTAGTTTTTCAATGTTTCATGTGTGGTTATTACATGAATTGCAGAAGAACATTCATGTAATGTGTCACTCCAAGTTGAGTAAAACAAAAATAAATTAATCAACCAACCAAATGTCTATATTGATTAGGATTAAAAAGAAATTCACCTTTGTACGGTCAAGAAGATAATTTTGTTTCATTGGTGTAGACAAAGGTTTTGCTTCATATGATCTAGTTATTTCTACCTAAAAAATATTTTAATTTTTTCAACTTTTTCATTTGAAAATATTTACTCGAATAATATTTGAATCATTGGATAACTTCATGATTTCCACATATGATTAGATCATCAATATAAATAAAGACATTAAGTTGCATTAAACCATTTTGTAGAGTGAATAGGGAATATTTAGACAAAAATTGTTTAAATCCATATTATTTCAAGGTATATTGACCAATTTGGCAAACTAAGTTCTAGGGACTTGTTTTAAATTGTATAGGAACTTTTGAAGATGATACACTTGGTTTGAAGTATAAAAACAAAAATTTAGGGACAACTTCATGTACACCTCTTCTTTAAGATCATCATGCAAGAAAGTATTGTAATAGTCAATTTGATGAAGTTCTCAAGTTTTTGTTATAACAAGTCAATAAAATTTGAATGATAACCATATTTACTACTGAGACAAATGTCTCTATATAATCAACTCTGTTATGTCTCTATATAATCAATTCTGTTTTCAAGTATTACTAATTGAGTTTTAAAATGTTCTATAGTTTCATTTGAATTGTATTTAATCTTATATATCCATTTGCATTCCAATGTTTTTAGTCTTTTGGTGACATTGTCTAGGTTATATTAACTTCAAGTGCTTATATTTTTTGTCTTATGGTTGAACATCAGCTACTATCTTTTGTTGCCTTGGAATAATTTATTAGTTCTCTCAAGAGTTATTACAGCAAGGAATTTATAATGTTTCGAAGAAAATTTATTACAATTCATATAATTGTTAGAGGATGTGATTCACTTGAATTATAGTGTGAAGTGAAAGAACAATTAGACAAGACATTTCACTTCAATTATTTTAGTCATACACTCTTAAGTTTTCATAAAGGAAACTTTGAGACATTTTCTTCGATCAAGATATTCATCATTTTTTGACTCATTTTAGAAAGGAAGTTTATTTTCTAAATGTTCTTTCATCCCTGTCCCATGTGTTGTCTCATTTTTTGTAAATCCAAAATCATAAAAAATATCATTTCAATATTGATATCTTCAATATTAACATTATAGTAAGAATAGTCTCATTATTAGTAAGTTAGGCAAAAAGATATTTAATTTCAAAATATTTGACATCTCTTAATGTAAAATAACTTTCACTCTCTCAATCATACAACTTCTATTCTTTTTTTCCATAAGAATAATCCACAATCACATTTTTTACTTTGATTAGCAAACTTATCTATTTTTCAACCTTAATTATGAGTATTACATAAAGAATCAAACACCTTTAAGTGATTTATTTGAAGATGGTTGCTCATATAATATTTTATAAGGAGTTTTTCCATCTAACAAAGGTGTTGACATTTTATTTATTAGATAGTTGTTATTGCACATTTATCCCAAAAAGAGATAAAAAGAATAACTTAAAATTTTAAAACACATGCTATATTAAGGAAGTTTCTTAATTTTGTTTCATCTGAACTATTTTGTTTAGGTGTCCTTATATAAGATGTTTGAAAATTAATGTAAAGTTCAAAAAACTTTATTGACAAACTTAGAAACTCTATTTAATTATCATTTCGAATGATCTTAATTTATTTTTCATATTATTATTTTTGCCAAAGCAACAAAATCCAATAAATTTTTTAAACTTCTCTTTTATGAAGAAAAAGATAAAATCAAATAATGTGTAAATAATCATCAACTATAGTAAAAAAATAAGACGCATGACATGGATGAAGTTCTATATAAAGTTCCCACAAATCATAATAAATCAATTCATAATTGTTAGTAGTTTTATTATTTCTTGTTGAAAAAGTCTTCTTAAGATGATGATATATAACAAAATATCACATGAAAGAGATACAATAATATTATAATATATAAGTAAATATAATTTTTATTTCACTAAACCAATTTTATAGGATTGAATTAGTCAATATTTTTAAAATTGAATCGGTCATCGAACCAATGAAGACATGGCTTTAAAGTTTAAAGGTTAAACCGGATTTAATAAAATAATATTTTTATAATATAATAAATTTATTACTAGTAATTTTTTTAATTGTTAAAATAAAATAAAAGTAAAATATATTATATCTTTTATTAAAAAAATTATATTAAAAATATTTATCTAAATATTTTTTTTTTACAAAACTGGTTCAATCCAAAAATTCAACCGATTTTTCTGATTATGTCCCGCTTTAATTAAAGTCCGCTTATTTAAAAGCAATAGAACAATTTTATAATCCGGATTAAACTGATTATTCCAATCCGATTTTTAAAACAGTGAAATTAGATATCTTACTAAAGTAAAGTTGGAACATGAAAATCTCTTTCAAACTAAAATAATTGTAATGAAAAAATCTTGCATTTATTAAAAATAAATTAATATTATAATATATAAATAAATAAAATTCTCCCCTAATGTAAATCACTTTTTTTTATAGTTTTATAATAGTATTTTCTTTTGTACAGTCTTTAACACTATTTATTATGACTTTGTAATAATATGAAATTTTATAACAATTTCATTAGTATATGCGGAAATTCGGATTATTTAACCAAAACGAAATTTTTTTCTCCATAGAAAATTTGAAAAGATAATATTAAATTATACGTTACTAAGAACTGCAGATTATCCTCTCTTTCTTTTCTTCTTCTTTTTTTTCCTTTTTTTTCTTGTGAAAGAAGAGGAAGAAAACAAATAAAGAAAGAGAATATTAGCGGGAGAATAAGATTATGTAAAAAAATATAAATAATGATGTTATGTAAACTCAAAATTTATAGATAAGCTTGTCCACTAAGTTTCTAAACACAAAATTTGACCACTTTCTCAGTTATACGCACCCATCGTATAATGATGTTATGATGTGCTCATCCAAGAGTATTTACTCAGTAGATTTTTCAATTCAAAACCAGATGACGGTTCCCCAAGTATTTTAACTTATAAAATCGCCTACAGAAAAAGGCCAAGAAATTGGACTATACCACCAATGGTTTACGTAACAAGAGCCAAAGAGCTGAGGCTACACTATAAATGGGACTGCGCTCTATCTTTACTCCCTATCTCATAAACCCTTCTCTCATTTTCCTATACTTCAACTTCTGACATTCCTCACTCTTTCTTACACACTCTTGCATTTTTCATCCCTTTGTGGCTGAGAATTTGTCATTTAGACATGGAACTCGGTTTAAAGCACCAACTTGGTCTCGTTTGTGTGATACTGCTCTTTCCTGCATTGTGTAGCTGCTACGAATATGTTACAAACTCAAGAGCAACCTATTATAATACCCCTGGGGGCTATGGGAATCCTAGTAAGTTTCTTCCTCTTCAGCCTTGTTTGTACAAATAAGCCGTTTGTACCAAACATATATTTGTTTTCGGGTAATGAATTAGGTTGCGTTTATACAAATAAACTTCATGGTTTCACTCTAAACCTTTATATTTTTTAAACTACATGCTTTCTCTAGCAAATTAAAACATTTGAAGAATTTACTTCTGAAGAAGCGTGCATGCAAACACGATTTTCAGAAGTGAAAAAAATTTGCATTTTGGCAGTGTGGCATCATACTACTCTGACACTAGACAGCATGACATAGATATAATCAATATTATAATATTTCAGGGGGAGCTTGTGGGTTTGGAGAATATGGAAGGACGATGAACAATGGCAGTGTTGCAGCCGTATCAGGGTTATGGCGCAACGGAGCTGGATGTGGTACATGCTATCAGGTACGTACGTGCTTTTCTTTTCATTCTTTTCAAAAAAACAAGGTCTTGTAACAAAATGTTTAAATCCATTAACAACTGTAAATATATATATATATATATATATATATAACATATAAATGATGAACTAGGTATGGTGCAAAAAGCCTGAATACTGCAATGCCAAAGGAGTATACGTGGTGGCAACAGACTATGGCGCTGGAGACAGAACAGACTTCATAATGAGCAAACGTGGGTTCTCAGAATTGGGACGCAACGCAGGTGCTTCTGCCCAACTGTTAAAAGAAGGGGTAGTGGATATTGCATTCAAAAGGGTTCCCTGTAGATACCCTTCTAACATCAAGCTCCAAGTCCAGGAAAGCAGCAGAAACCCTGGCTACTTTGCTGTTTTGCTTCTCAACGTAAATGGAATAAACGACATCACTGCTGTTGAGATGTGGCAGGTATATACATGGACACACACATAAAATACATCATACATTCAACTCTTAATATATAATATATGTTTGAATTACTCGACAGAAACAGTTGGTTCATTTTTACTTGAGTGAGTGAGAGTGCTTTTGTATTGTGTGGTTGAATTGAATTTGTTTGCTGAAATGATATGCAGAGAGGGGAGAAACGATGGGAGGCACTGCGAAGGGCCTATGGAGCAGTGTTTGACTTTGCTAACCCACCAAGTGGTGAAATCCTCTTAAGGTTTCAAGTTGGCTATAAATATTGGCTTCTTCCCAAGATCTCTATTCCTGCTAATTGGAAGCCTGGAGTTACTTATGACTCCAAAGTTCAGCCTTATTAGAATGAAAACTGAATAATCACAATCACTTCTTCCAACCCCAACAACATTTAATAAGTGTTTGTATTAATTATTCCCTTTATTTGTTTGTTATCAGTGTTACTTGATGTTGTTGTTCTTGTACTGTCAAAGGAACTATAGAATAATGGGGTTGTGTAGTCTTATAACTTTCCATTCAAAATATTGCATGGAATAATGAATAAAATTCAATTTCCTCTGTGTTCATAAATTTAATTTGATTTTGTCGCATGTACCAGGTAAATTACTCTGCTTATAAGTTAATAAAAAAAAAATCACACCAAATTATTTTCATAAATTAAAAATATTAAATACATAAGATACATTGCAATGGTTGAAATCATTAATACTTGATAATGTTAATGTCAGACTTTTATCACAATTTTCCATGGAAAAGAATATAGAATCTTGTATGACATTGAGTAAAGTGGTAGTCAGATTTTGCGGGTCATGATTTTGGCTTATTTAATCATTAAATTAAGATAAAAACTGGCATTCAAATCGAGGATATTATATAAGATAAAATTAAATTAATTTAGTTGCTATATCTTCTATTAAATAATTAAGATATTTTCAAGATTAAATTGTTAATTTGAGGAGAGGAAGAAATTATATATTGTGACTAAAAATCATGCACATGAGGATACAGTACAGGTGTGTCATGATTTTAATGAAGTTTTTTTTTCCTTTTATGTATTATTTTTTCTTATTGTTCAATCTTTTTATATAAAAATTTTATCAGTTTTTTATCTTAATGACAACATGAGAGCACCCGTATATGTTTAAATATTTGTCCATTTCTTATACAATGACTTCTTAATTGTTTGTTTAATTTTTACAAAGATATTATTTATTTTAAAATTTAATTTTGTCACAATATAAATCAAGATAAAAAAAAGTATATATGATTAGTTTATATATATATATATATATATATATATATATATATATATATATATATATTCTCCTAATTCACATGTATTTTTTTTTTAGAATAACATCGTGATAAAAATATTAAATTTCAAAATGAATATTCACAAGATATGATGATTGATCCCAATAATAAACCATATTAAATTATAATACTTTTGTTTAAGAACCATAACAATTACTTATGTTATATGAATGAATAAATGTCTGATTTATGTTAAGTCTAGTTTAATTTTTATCTAAATTAAATTTAATTAAATTGGGTTGAGTTTTTATTATTTATCCATCCTACCAATTTATAATATGATTTTGTCATTGAGCGGTTCAATTTAAAAAATTATTTATTAAAAAAAAAGATTTTTTAAAGCTAAATATTGTTAACATTTATTCATAATTTTATATATATATATATATATATATATATATATATATATATAAAAGATAATGACAATACTTAAAATACTTTATAATAATACTCATATAATAAAATATAAAATTATTAAAAAATAATATCTTTTATTATATGTTTATTATGCAATTTGAAGTTTATAAACCAATTATTAAAATTAATTGTAAGTAAAGGAAGTGTAGTAAACCCAATTTCCACTAAAGGCTTGTTGGAGTTAGTAGCCAGACCCGCATTGAAAGCCCAATAATTTGCTCAAGTCAATTGATACTCGACCCAATAAGTGCAGTCTCATAATTATGGGACCATTGCTTTTTGCACCCTATCATTTTTCCCTATACCTCCCTATTATAGCAAATTTTGTTTTTTTTTTTTTCTTGTTCAAATCGTTACATTTTACGAAAATGTTATCCAGAATATATTAAAACAATCAAATTATTTATTTTAGAATACCATATAATAAGATTGGTTATTACGAAATAAGATTTTTAAAAGTTATTTCAAAATTTGTATCACTAATTGATTTCAGAATATTAGAATAACTTTTACCATCATTTGAGCTCGGAATTTTTTTAAAATATTTTTTATCATTGAGTTTTGAATTTAAGGTTTAGGAACATATCAAGAACCTTATATGGTTAAAAACCAAGAAAAAGATTGTCCATGTATGGTTGAAGAAGCAGAGGGTACAAAAAAAAACAAGAAAAATCTTAGCTTTAAGAAAGAAATCAATATTTCTCTGGGTAAAATTTTACATTGGAAAAAGCTTGTCTGATGCTATTTTAAAGAACCATGAGCTGAGCAAGAAAGAAAAAGAAAGGACATTAAAAAGAACTAGATATTAGAATAGTAATGTGTAGAATTGTTTGCAGACAAAGTTAAGCAAAATTACCATTGATAGAAGAGGAAAAGTTGCATATGAAGTTGTAACTAACAGTTTATAACATTTGTAACATATCTCTTCACTTTCTTGAATCAGATTCAGCATAAAGTACACATGCTATTTTCAATCCATCTTGAACATTATTACTCACTTCTTTTGCATCAGTATCATCATTGTTGCTATTTTCAATCGCTTGCAATTGCAATGTACATACATCATGTGTATCAGCATCTGGTCCGGATAAAGAAGGATGGTTTCTGACAGATGATGAGAATTTTGAACCATCACAAAGAACCCCCTTGGGAGGAGAGAACTTTGACACGTCGGAGGAATCACACTCCACAACTTTTGCAGTACTTATGAACTCTTTCTCCTCCAAATCTTGCGTCTGGAGCTTCAAACTTGTGTCATTTGAATTGCCAAAACTAGAAGTTTTAGGATCAATCTTTGAGTCAAGTGGGCCACATCCTTCTGGAAAATCACGAACGCAAGAAGGTCTGAGCTTTATACGCAGTGGCTGAGAAACAGAAGTGCAATCTCCATTTCCCATCAAATATTTCCTCTTAGAAACAAGAGAAGAGATGGGTCGCACCCATCAACATTTACGTCTTACTTGGTTCAGTGGAGAATCAAGGAATCGGAGGGAGTTAGATAGAGAATCAAAGGTAATGTAACGTGACTGAGGAATAAATTATAAAATGGTCACTTTCTCATTTATTTTTATTTGTTTATCACTTACATAATTAAAAAAAAAATCATCTATTTTACTTTATTAAATTAAATTTTTAATTTGGTTCTTATATATTTCTTATTTGTTACATAATTTTTTTCTTTGTTTTATTCTGTTTATTTCTCTTTTCACGATCAAACAAAACATAGGTAACTTTGTGAAAACATAATTAAAAATACATAATTTATATTATTAGTCTATTTTACTTTATTAAAAAATTAAATATTAAATCATATTTCTTTTTTATCACTTTTTTTGTTTTTTCTTTTAATTCTGTTCACTTAATAACTCTTTAATATAAAAGGTAATTTTTGTTTTAAAAAATATTTTAAGAAAATAAAATGTACAAAATGTAAAAGTTATAGCTATAAAACAAATACTACAAATTATTAAAATAAATTTGTTTCACTCAGTTAGATTAAACACTTTTTATTTAATAAAAAGACTATAACTTAACTTGAACTATTTTACAAAGATAATTTATGTCGCCTTCTCTTTCCCAAAAGAATTTATTCATGTGTAAATGAGAGATGAAACACTGATTAATCAAATAAAGTTTATTTAATAGATTGGATTAAAAAAAATATTGATTCATTTTGATCTATTCAAACATTAATTAGAAATCAAATTCATTTGGTAAAAAAATTCAATCCAAAACTTTGATTAATACTTTTTTTTCTTGATTAGATTTCTGATACAATTATAAAAATAATATTAAAATGTATTTTTTTTAAATTTAAAAAACAAATTTTGTATGACAAATTAAAAAAAATGTTTTAAAATGGTAAATTAAATTTGATCTATCATATATTAAAAGAAAAATAATTAAAATTTTAAAAAATAATAGCTAGACATCGTATAATGAAATAGAGGAAGTACTTATAAAAAAGCGATGATAAAATGGATGATTTGCCTCTAATGGAGGAAGAGGGTGTGGTGTGGGTACTACTACTCACCCAACTATCAACTACATATCTATGCCTGACTCCAACACTCACCACCACGATTCCTTCAACTTTCTTTTCGACCTTTCCCAAGTTTCCCCGTCGCAGGAACAATTATTGCGCGCTCCTTCTGTCGGACCACACACTCACCACTCCCCTTCACCCTCACCTTCACCCTCACCCGCTTCCGCCGACTCCCCGCCGCGCTCCAACACCATCGTAATGGTGTCGCCTCCCGACTCCCTGGACGCCGTCCCTCAAGAAGTTTTCCACACGCCGCCGGAGAACTCCTCGCGCCCTTCCTCCTGCAACCAGCCGCGGGCCGCCACCACCGGCGATCACCGTTGCGCTGTTAATCACGCCGTCGACGTTGACGCTGGGACCCAGGGTTTCGTCGATTTATGCGAGGGGGCTGAGTTTGTTGATTTGGGGAGGGATTCGGAGTTAGGGTTTTCGGAATCCTCGCTCGGTGCACGAAGGGATGTTTTGGACGAGATTCGTGATGACCGGTTAGATGAATTTGCGATTTTCGAAAGGGAATTGTCTGATTTGGGCGAGCCGCCAGTGAAAAAACCGAAACTTTCGGAGGGCGATTTGGGTGTTGATTCTTCAGGGGGTTGTGTGGAAGTTCAATCGCAGAAAGGAGAAGAGGGTGTGGAGAATTGCGAGGGGAATCTGGTTTCTGAAGCAGAAAAAAATTATGATGAAAATAACTGTTCTACCCAAAATTTAGAAACCTTGGTTGGGGATGTTAGTTTGTGTGAATCCGAGAAAGTGGCATGCACTTTTGAGAGAAACAAGTCAAGTGATGGGGTTGTGGAAGGTTCTGGAATGGGGAAGAAGAGTGACAGGAAAGTGGTGCTGCGTGAGTTGCCACCCTCAATGCGTGGTCCTTCGGAGAATGCAGCGAGTAAAGTGGAATTTGGGAACAGTCAGAAAAAGAATGTGTTCGATGTGTTAAGAGTTCTCTCAGAGATTAGTAATGAAGAGGACGAAAATCTTGATGATATTAGTTTGTTGGAAGTCGCTGAAGCTTGTGGAATCACTTTTCCTCGGCCAAGATGGTGGCCGAAAGGGGAAAACTTTGACCCCCTATGAATAGTGTGAGGAAAACTCTGAAACTAAAATTCTGTTTCTATTTTTTCCTCGATCTGCTTGTTATCTGAAAGGTTTTTGATTTGTGCCTTCTGCTTTAGGAATTTAGAAGTTTATTTAGTGGATGATAGATAGTTTGATAGGGATCTAATTTCTATCAGCTTTGGGCTGTTGTCTGATTTGTCTATTCAAAAATTGTGGTCCAAACCTTTAATTAAGATCGCCAACCTCTTATCTGCATGTCAATGTGTTGTGGCTAGTTGGGCATGACCTTGTTTGAACGAGTAAAAGATAAGATAATTTTATTTATTATTTTTAATATTTTTTATTTTTATAATAGTAAAAAATGAATAAATAAATAAATTCTATAATCGATTATAAATTGTGATTTATAAAATCGTGTATGTATAATATATTTTAAACTAACTTATATTTTAAAAACATAATTAATTATGTTGCATTTAAAAATGTCTTCTATTTTATTTTTTCAAACACAAGATACAAGTTTTTCATTGTTACTCCAATAGATTTATTAATTTTTATAATGATTCTTTTAAATTATATTTCATTTTTAGTATAATTTTCACTAGCGATGTTGCTTCTTAAGCTTGAATTTTATGCATAATAAATTTAGAGATAATCAATTTTTAAAAAATTTCGGGACTTTTTTAATAAAAAAATTATTAGCGTGGTTATAGTCCTCGGTTATGATCCACACTAATAATTTGAAAAATTTACATAACTTGTGTAATTTGATTTTGAATTTATCAAAATAGATAGAATTTGAAAAATTAACATATTTAGACAAATCGTATTTCATAAGACAAATTAAAAAAAAAATCATATCATCCATTATCACTTTAGTTATTCTTTTTTTATTTTGTAAACAAATTGTATTACATCTCACCGCTTTGAGTCATAATTGATTTTTTTTCAGTCGAAGTTGTGTTAAATAACACGAGTTTTTATTTTTTAATTTATTATTATTATTATTGTTATTATTATTTATTTTATTATTATTATTTAATTTTTTATTATTATTATTATTAAAGTTGTACTAATTTTAGTTTTTTTATGTAGATTTAATTATAAAATAATATTATATATAATATTTTTTATTTATTATATTTTAAGATTATAAATTTATAAGTAAAAATAATTAAAATTATAATAATAGTTAAAAAAATAAAACATATTAATATTAAAAATAAAATATTATTTTTACGTAGATAATTAATATTATGATCCTGAATATAATAAATGAATTTTTTTTAGTTTATTTGAATTTGGTATATCTATTTCATTGTAGATCGTGGTTTCGTGTTGCATGATTAGATTTTTTAATGAAATTTGATAATCTCTATTTCGTACGAGATGAAATTGATGTTGATAAATATTTAAAATTCAATCTAACCTACTGGATCAATATATACATCACATGAGATGAAATTCTCTATAATCAAACCATCAAACACATCAATATATTTATTTTTTTGACTACTATTACAAATTAAATTTTTTTACTTATAATTAGCAAAAATTTCAAATTCTACCCATTTTGGTAAAATAATTCAATCTCTGCCACCAAAATGAACTTCCACGTCCAAATTTTGAGCTACTTTTACATGAAAATACTAATTAGAAATGCATACACGTACATTTGGACACAACCCTCTGATATTCCTCCATCAAACACTTAAACCCAAATTGTAGACTCATTCTCATTTACCCAATTTATTTGTTTTGCTTCGAAAAGATATATAATGATTATAGTCAAAGAGTAAAATGAATAGTTGCAATTAAGACACCAACAAAGGTCATTGGAAATATAGGTAAGAAAAATATGTGGCAAGCAAGATTTCTAATCCCATGAAAAGACTAGGAAAAGACCAAAAACACTAAAAGAACTAGCTAAAGAGACTCACAATAAACAATCTCCAAAAGATTTTTGTTGCTGCTCTTAATAATTATGCAGTTCTTTCTCAACGTAACAAGGTGCTTTGACAGTACTAAAAACAATAATTATGCAGTTCTTTCTCATCTGATCCATCCATAAAGCTGTGTCATGGACATTTATACTCTTTTATTATATGAATGGAAGTTTGAAGAGTTAGGATTTAAATCTACTGGGAAAAAAAGGGTGTGAAAATCATTCACAAAACATAAACTACAATTGCATACAAAACTCCGGAGATGATCACTCCGCATTTCATACCATATGTTACAATCTATAACCGACCTATACAAAAAAAGCCATTCAACTTCGATCCTTTTGGCAATCCAAGCTCAAGGTTGCAAGGAAAAAAAAAAACACAACCATCATATTTCTTGTACAGGAATTTTGGTGTTTCAGATGCAAACATACTAAGGATGAGTAACAGGTGAGTGTACAGAGCTACTAGTGGTGCTGACCTGCGCACCATAGCTTAAAGTTGGGAGCAGGAGCTCTGCCTGTGGAAAAGAACTGTTAGAAGGCACCTCTAACAGCAGATCCTCAGAACTCTCACCAACATAGTTAAAAGAATCCAGCATGTGCAAGCCACCAATACTACGGGGCAAAGCAAATAGGCTTTTTGGACTGAAGCTTGAGCCTTCTTCTACAACTTCTTTGCCCTCACAGATAGGCTTTATGACCATCCTTTTGGGGCTTCTCATTGTTGCCTTCAATTCTGAAATTTGCGCGATTACTTGATTAGTTTCAAGAATGCTTATTCAATTAAATCATAAACAGAGAAAGCCAAAACAGCTCAGTTCTAATTATAGTTTCTAACTGAAAACAAAAAGAACAGTAACACAGTTATCTTAACATGTCACGTACAAGCTCAAAATATATTCAACATTTGCAAGGGAGGTATAAGTGAATATTTTCATTTTTTTTCTTTTTGTTGACATAAGATTGTCAGCTAACCTGGAAAATTTTGATTTTTGCTGTCATCCTCACGCATTCTCTTGGCATTTGTAACATTACTTGATTCCATAGCAGTAGATCCAGGACCAACAGTTTTCCCAGCTTTGTTTTCACATTTCTGCACCCATAGAAGGATGCAATGTAAATATGAGTGTTCTACACCAATCCAATCCAATCAAGATTGGAAAAAGTGAACCAAAAAATTAACTGCATTGGAGCGGTTTTTGGATCCAAACTTTAAAACCAAATCAAAGGTTTATAGATTATACTTTTGAAAATAATATTTTCCTTAGAAAATTTTGTATTATTCCATAACTAACGTACAAAATTTCCCTATTGTACCACAAAACCAAGCTTAGTTTCTTCTCTTGGATTTGGATATAAAATGTAGGAACAATATGATTAATATTTTCTAAACTTTAATTAGAACTTAACTATATATTTTGATGTATTTATTTAATCTTGTGTTTAGTGTATTTGATGAATTAGTTTCCGACTTATATTTGATATATTTATATGAATTTCCATATTAAACAATCCATAAAAAAAATGATCCAATCCAAACCAATTTAAATTGGATTGCATTTACATTTTAAATCACATTTGTTACATGACATTATAGGAAAACAAAAACCATTAGTATCAAAATAATAAATCAGTACAAACCTTGAGAAAATTATAGTGTTCAACCCATTTTGATTTTGACAGATTAGATAACACAAGCCTTTTCAAAGTCTTCCACTCTTCAGGTTTTGTCCCCAACAAAGATATGTCAAAGACACCTTCCCCAAGAAGTTGCTGAAAATAAGTCAAGTTCTCCTTGAATTGGAAGTTACTGAACATGTTTTTAAGGCTGCAAATACAACCAACACAATCATTCACTAATGTTTGATTCAGTCTAGATACCCTAAACAGATGAATATCTGATTCACTACCAGAGCTTTGTTTTTTTGGGGGAGAGGGGAATGAACAATTCACCCATCAAAAAGATGGATAGTTTTGTTACTTCAAAAAATTCTAATTGTATGATGACTCAAATGAGATTCCTTATTTTCTCGGAACACAACATTTATAGCAATTGTGAATTGCAAACCCCCCACCCCCCTTTGAAAGGATGGACTTGAAAGTGAAATCATAGTGACTTGCAAAACTTCAAAAGATTATTTTATGATGAATAATGATAAAAGTCGTTCCAAATAAGATAACAGATTCTAACCTATCAGGAAATTTGGCGGTATCAACCACAGGGAGATACTTCAGTAATTGCTGCTGCTCTTCATTTGTCAAATTTCTCATAAACTCCTCATAGTTCACTATAACCTAACCAAACATAATAGCAACCAATATATAGTTAAAAATATGTATGCAGATCAAGACAGTGGTCATGACACGAAACCCAAAGACATGATCATATTATTTATGGAATATGAGTATTGCCTGTTCTCAAAATAAATTGAAATATTAAACTTAGATGTTATCTTGCTAGTCCTGAGAGTGGTTACATGAATGAAAACAGATTATACGCGTGAGTGTGAAAGAGAAATCCAATATATTGTTTAGTATTGATACAAAACCATGTTATTGATGCAAAAAACTTGTGCAACTCACATTTAAATCTATTGAGCACAGCGGAGAATTGTGATTTCCAGGACCTTGTAGTTTTTCAAGCTGAGACTTGTCCCTAAAAAAGAAAAGAGTAAATTTTTTGTCAATTCTCTGATCGAATTTGCACTCTTATCTCTGATTTCACTGTAAAGCCACACGTATAAAGACAATCATCCATAAACATGTTGACATCCTAGTACAAGAATTTGGATGTTTTCAGCTGTAACAGATAAAATGAAACTTTTAAATTATATTAATCATTCTGCATAAAAACTGACTAGAATAATGAAAGACTGTAAACCGGTAGGAAAACATGCCTATTAAGTTTCACTTGTTGCATGATTTGGCCAGCTGAGTTTTTGATCTTTTCAACTCCATGAGATGAGAAGTTCATGGCACTGTTATCACTATACAAAGGAATCGTACTAGAGCATGAATATGCTTCACGCATTAGGCATTGTTTATTATCAACTGAAAGAGAGCTAGCCTCAGACTCTTCATCGCGAGCTATGGAGCTAGGATGCCTTATGAGAATGCTACCATGTCCTATCTCAACAGAGACCATTGGTGTATCACTTTCAAAAAGAAGATCCTCTTCAGAAGATGCAGAAAAATACGACTGCTGTTCATGAAGAATAGTACACAGGTCTCTTGTGAGCTTCTCGACAGATGAAGGCTTTGGACGACCTGAACATGTCCTCTTTTTTGAAGGAACCATGGCATCCCAGACCACTGACTGAGCAGGACCTACATAAACCATACTATCTATCTTAGAATCATATGCTTTTATTGAAGAAACAAAGGAAGCTGATTTGAACTGAAGTAAGCAGTTATGAAGAAACAGACATGTTATGTCATGTATGTAGAACTTGAAATTTTACTCTAAAATAACGTATTGATAAGGGAATATAGATATACACAATTAATGGATAATTGATAATCCATGTTTAATCGTAAAGCTTGCCAAAAAAATTGTTTTGGGATAAATGGGTTCTTCATTATGAATTTTTTTCAAATCACTTTTCAGTTCTTAAAAGCACAGTCATATATATGATGTACAATTATAATTAATATTAGCTTGCTTTCTTCCCGAAAAAACAAGACCTTGTTAGTGGATCAGCAATTCCACAATTTATCTTTTTCCTTTACCCTTCATATCATTATCCAGTTCTTGATTAAGCTCATATAAATCAGGAATAACATCAAAACCCATGCTATTTCACTGGAAAGGCCAATGCTTCCATGATCAGTTATATGGAAAAATCTTCCAATGAAATCAGAAAAAAGTAATTGTCCCACCTGTCAAATCACTAGCATCTGTGCCACCAAATTGAGCACAGCTCTCCGAGTTAGAGACAGCTGACCCTGAGCTTGATCTATTGCTTGTATCTTCATCCACTACCTTTCGGTGTCCTTGATTATATTCTGGAACAAACCCTCCAGATGCAGCATTATCATAGTTCTGCTTTAGCTTGACCAATTTCACTTCTTTGTTCTTAATTAATGATATGCTTTTTACCCTGGAAACCTTTTGATCCTCATAATCAACATTTTCTGCCCGTGCATGCAAAGGGGTATAATTTGCTAGTGTTCCCTTAGTCCTCCATCGAGATCCACATGCATTGCATAGTACAGGCTTCTCAGGTGGCCCATTACGCCAAAGTGGTGTGCCTATTGCAAGGTTTTTTCGTTAGGAAATCTATGAAATTTAAAAAACTTGAAACAAGAATAAAAAAGTGATTATCTCTGATAGAAAGCAAAACTAACTTATTCTTATTTCGCAGATATACTAGAGAACTGAAATGGACAAACATCTTTAGGATGAGACAGCATTCATCAATCATTATCAATAAGAACTAAACACTCCTACTCGAATGATTGACTATCTTCCCATTATCAATCCGTTTATAAATTTTAGATACACAGCAACATCCTTTTGCAAGGAACACTATATATTAGTCTACACTTCACATTCACCAAGCAGATATGGACAAACTCAAATTAAGAAGACGTGTAGGATGGTAGGAAGACAATGCTTTCATTTGAACCAAAACAATTAACATTTGTCCTCTTAGTGCTTGTGGCATTAATGTTAAGGCAATCTAATTTGAAGTTGGGACTGAAATCAGTGTGTTCTCAAACAGTGACACTCGAATTTTGAAGTGGAAACCAATAACAATGACTTCGAAACTTACACACGATTTTCAAGTTTATCAGAAAAACAAAGGAACATTTCCAAGGCTCAAGTTGCAGAATAAGTTGTATCAATATCAAGGTGATCAGTATAATTGAGAAAGTATGATAATATAAAAATGATTAGTCAGAGCAATTGAATTTTCATCCCGGCCAGAAGGCAATGACCCATCCGAAGGATGAATGCAATGTACGAACAAAAGCCCTGAGATACAATGAGAAATTGCTAGGTAGACAGTGACCACAAACAACTCTGTAAAATCCTTTCAGAAATGAGGTGGATTTATGGACATTTTGCAAAAGCACAATTATCTTCCTTTCCTTTTCTCACTTTCTTTTGTTCACATAATCTAAATATGAGTGGAGAATGAGTTGACTCTTTTGATAAATATCATTTAGAACAACGGATGTTCTGCTTATTGAGAAATAAAAGGTTCAGTATAACATTCAACCGATTCCGAGATTAATTCTGCACCAATTACGTTTGCACACACTTCATACATAGTCAAGGAAAGCAAAGACACACTGAATGTGTGACACAGAACACATCAACAGAGGAAATTAATATAATTGAATTTTCCAGAACTTCCATTTCCAAATATTCAGGGCAACTAGAATATTAGTATTATTGAATTCTAATACATCCAAAACACTAAATTATCCCATTTGTTTAAATTGGCCAGAACTTTTCCCTTGCACACATCTATATTTCTTATCAAAATCATCAACCTTGTCATCGGTTCCAGGACAAACTTCAAATCAAGAGAGACAAATTTCAAAAAACCAATAACTCTCGTATAAAAACTGCAAACAAAGATTGCATATTGGAGAGACAAGAACTCACTTGTAACTCCACAGTGATAGCAAGGACCTTGCTTGCCCATGTCTCAATCTTATGCTCAAGTAAAGGGGAAATAATATGTAGAACAAATTGCAGAAAAAAAGGGGCAAAATAAATTTTTAACAAAAAAGAAAAAAAAGTGATTTTTTTTTTTAAATATACCAGTTGTTTTGAAGGATTGTATTAGTGGGTATTGAAGGCTTTGTTCTGCAGCAAACCCCAGAAAAAAGTTTGCAAAACTAAAGGAAGCAAAAGCCAATAGACCCAGAAGAGTTTGTGTTTTACTGTCCTTAAAAAAATTCACAAAATCAAACAGAATTACAGAGATTGATATCTGGGTGTTGTAGCTAGAAATCTGTACAAACCAATGGAAGAGAAAAAACCAGTAAAGGAATCTCAGAAATGACAGAGAAAAGAAGAAGGGAAGGTGCAATGGAGAGAGAGACAGAAAGAGAGAGAGAGAGAGGAAGGTCTGAGTATGTGACCTCTTGTTGTATTGTACAAGAAGTAAATGTCCAGCTTTTTCCTTTATTTTTTTTAACCCACTTTCTCTTCTTTCTCTCTCTATTTTGTTTTTCTTTTTTTTAATTGTCTTTTGTTGCTGTTATTTGAAGAATATATTTTGGGTTTCCTGATGTTATCTGAGATATTTCAGTTTTCATTTTGTTAAACTAAAAGTAAAAAAATTGGAGGTTACCGTGTAAAATAAAAAAACAGACAGATTATTGCTCAATCACAAACATTCGAAAATAATAAGAAATGAATTTATTTATTCAGACTAGTTTAACACGACATAGATGAAAATTTTATGGCATACAATAACTTTTAATTTATAAATTCCTTATGTTTTAGTTTACATTTACTTATTATTAATTATGCCTATCATACGTTTTAAAAATATGTTGCTCATTTTAAGAGAAACCGATAGGAGGAATATTAATAGATTATTGCATATATCTTGTTGACTGTGGACTTTTCTTTGCTTTGCTTTTAATTTTTCAAATCCCCATCTTCACCATAAGGATTTTTGGTCTAAAACAGTTTCTACTCATAATAACTAAATATCGATGGCCAAGGGTTAAAAGAACAAGCCCAAAACTCGAGAAATATCTGAATAAGAGAGGATGAAAGAAAGAGAGATTTTTTGGCCTTTCCTAATTTTTCTACCTGCCATAATTTTATATTTATGAGATTATTATTTATGATATTTAGCCATGATTTTATATTCTGTGTGTGTGTGATGGCATGATGTTGATGAGTTTTAGTGATCTTGAAAAAGGAAAAAAAGAATAAACATAGGGTAGCAAACCTGTGTGTGTGAGAATTTGTTGTCATAAACCCAATCAACACCGTTGATTAAGCAAGGGCGGTTGATGTTGGGGCCACCATTACTGATATGGTTTTCTCTTTACTTAGTTTTTAATTTCATTCCAAAAGGTTGTGGCTTAGTCATGTAAATCTGACACTAAATTTATAGTTATTAAATTATTTCTTTTAAAAAAAAAAACATCATATTTGATTAAAATTTTTATGAATTAAAACGGTAGAAAAAAAAAACAAAAAACATATAAGAATACTGTGGCCATGAAACATAGTGGGTATCTCATGAGTTTGACTAATTTGGTGGCTTGTGAAGTTCCTTATCTTATAGTGTTTTCCACCCTTTAATCTAAGATGGGAAAAGGGTATTGAGGGTGGAGTGTGTTGTTTACTTTGTGTAAAGAAAATTGGTCCAACCCATCTCTCAAACTGTATCATTAAATCAGGTTGATTGACTAAGGACATTGTGAAGTAGCAGCCACTAGATTATTTATTTCCCCTTCTCCATCAAATCAAGGGTGAGAATTAAGATGGCTTCCATCAAACAAAAATCAAAAGCCTCTAAGTCCTTCCAAAGAACATGCCTTCTTGCCTTGTTGAAAAAGAAAAACAAAAAAGTTTATGCAGTATTATAATCTGTGTTCCTCATTCACAGTGCCCTTCATGAATTCACGAATCACCAACTGGTCAAATCTTGCATCTAGACTATTAAATTCACGCAGGTCAATTTTAACCCTTTACCATTGCTCATGAAACTGACATATCAACACGCGTTCTTGTTAATGTGAGAATTTTTAGTATTTGAAAAACAATATTTTGTTTTCTTTCTTTGTTTTGAAATTAATCGAAATTTGTTGTTTTAATTACTATTAATTATCAAAGATAAGACTATTTTTTTAATAAAAATCAAATCTTCAAAATAATAAAATACATCGTTCAAGAAACCAACTAATCATAATCACTCTCTTTGCTACGCAACATTAGGTTAATATTTGATCAGTTAAAAAATAACACTTTAAAGGAAAAATAAATGGAACAAGAATTTTAAAAATAGTAGTTGTTTAATGGTTAAGATATTCCTAATTTTAGAGTTGGATTCGTTTTATGTTTTTATATGTAAGCCACGTTGCATACAACATCACACCGTATACATAAACACAAATTATTTTGCATTATACATAGTGATTAGTTATAACCCAACAAGCAAGATAAGATAATTGGGGGTGAGAGGTGCAAAAGGAGTAAAGAGAAACCTAATTCAGGAGATAAGCTAGAAGTAACTGGTGATGAGAAAGAACAACTTTTTGTTTTTAAAACTCACTTTCTTCACTTTTTAAAAAAATGGGTACTTTTTTTTATTTTTATAAAACTTAAGTTACTTAAGTTTTTAAGAACTTCTAAATTGTGTTTGACCCAAATTCTCTTTTTTGTTTGTGGGGAAGGAAAGTACAAATATTTTGGAAGTAAACACTATTTAACCCTATCCCATGTCTTACAATCATATGATATTATTTTTTTTTTTTACTGAAATTGAGTGATATTTTTTTACATACAACGTCTTCTGTTTTGTTGAACACATTTCAATTCTATGGTTAATATTAAGGAGATCATTTTGTATGATGAATACGAGGGGGGGAAATAATCAATTTGGTCTTTTCAAAGTACATGAAAGTTTTAATTCATTCTTAAAATTTAAAAGATAAAAAAAAATGATTTTTATCTCTCAAAATCATTTTTGATTCCCTCGTACGTGTTCTTTTAATGTTTTGATATTTAGAATTAAGATATAAATAGCTAATGGGTTAAATTTTCAAGTTAAAAAAAATAAATAAAATCATTCCTACCCATCCCTTATTCTCATCTCTGGAGGTGATTAACTTATCCGAATTGACTTTATTTTCTTGTTTTTTTATATAAGATTGAAGAGTAAGGAATTTGAATTCTTTTTACGTCTAATTATCTTTCTCTTTTTTTTTAATAATCTAATTGTCTATTCAGTTTGAATTATGTACCATTTTTTTTTACTTAAGTTTTTAATTAAAATAAAAATTGGTCTCTTTATCATTTTTGTTTTATAAAAATCATTTTTTTATTTTCTATTCAAATATTTAGGAATATGATGAATTTGAGATATATAAAAAATTGGTGAGCTTTTTAAAAGATTTCGTGCAATGTGGTTTAGAGTTTGAATATAAGTAAAATTTTATTTTATTTTGGATGAAATTTGTTCTTTTAATTGGTAATTTTCAGTAGGTTTAAAATATTAATTGATGAAAATATTGAGAAAAAAAACCGAGAATTTGATGAATTTATATAAAAGAAATCAATGCAATGACTAAAAAATTGTTTGATTTTGTAAGTACGAAAAATAGTTTTAAAAAATATAAATATATAAAAATGTAAATAAAGCATTTCTTTTATATGCTTAAATACATTTTGTTGAAAATTTGAATTTATAATTTTTTTATATCTTGGAACACATATAAAAAATGTTCTAGTTAAATTATTGATTTATATATGTGTATTCTTGAAAAACACGTTTAATACAATACTTCTTATTACTTTTATCTGTTTTAAATTTTTGATCATATGACGTTTTCATCTTATTATTTAGATTATTAGACAGAAATTAGATATCTCAATTATAATATATATATATATATATATATATATATATATTATATATTTGACACTATTAAATTTTAATAATATTATATATGATAATCACTATTTAGATCATCACAAGATAGTAACTACTATTTTATTAATATTACTTTATCTTGATATATTGTTGTAAAATATTTGTTCATGATTATATCTTAATTCATATATTCAACACATTATGCTATTTTATCATCAAATTCATATATAAATAAAAATATAATAAGCAAAACATACTAAAATACATGTATTAAATTAATACAATTTTTTAAGAACATTAAAACTAGTTTTAAGTTATTTTATATATAAATTTCCTTTGATTAAATTAAAAAAAATGAGTGAACTTTAAATGATTGACCCAATTATGCTAACAAATTATGTTTTAAAAAAACCTTATTTTTCATTTTCTTCATAATTTTTGTTGATGTGTTATGATAGGAATTATTTTATTTATTTATTTATTTAAAATATTAGAAAGGGGTACATTTTATTAGAGAAAACTCAAATGATATAAATTTTATAAAGATAATGATTTTATTTAAATAAAAAATAAAATATTTACTTTTTTAATTATATCTTTCTAAAATTTAGTTTAAAAAAAAGATTTTTTATCAAATTAAATATTATTTTTAGAACTCCTCAAAATTTGACCACATATTATTTTTTATTTTCCCAGTTAAAGGGAATGTATTTTTATTTTATATGAAATATGGATACATACATTTTGTACATATATGAAATATAGGCGTGAATAATTTTGTGCATCCTGTCTTTCAATAAAAAAATATATTAACTTGTTATTTAAAAAAAAATCAGTTAGTTAATTCAGGTAGTAATTACAATTAATAATAATAATAATAATAATAATAATAATAATAATTCATGACATTAACATTACAAAAATTTAAATTTAACGACTGGAATTAATAATATATATAAAGTTTAATGAATTTGTTTATAATATATAATAATTACAAGAGTTACAACATATACATGAAGCATTTTATCTTTACAACAATTTTTTAAAATAAAGTTGAAAATTTAATTATTATTTTTTTAGAA